GAAGCTATTAGGAACAAGTGCATCGCTAGTAGTAACAAGTGCCTTACTAGTAGTAACAATAAGCTATTAGAATTAATTTAAATATAACCGGACCGGTCGTCTTTACGCGAGAGAACAGTCGACCGGTTTGACGCATGTCTCGACTCCAGAGCATCGACTTTGAGAAGTTTAAGCCGGTGATGTTGGCCGCGCTCCGCTCATTGCACTCCGGCAGGGACCAGGGACTGAAGGCGTAAAAATTAGGGCTTCGACCAGGGACTGGTTGTGAGTTGGAGAGCCAAGTTCTCTGGAACAGGTGAGATGTCTAAGGAAGATCCTGCTTGAAAAAGATGGCATCAGAGAGTTAAGCCAGAGAGTTGCACAGTGGATGAAAACTATGGCGTAACTTTTGCAATGAAGGACCTCACAGTGGCTCATGCCCGACTCCTGTTGAAGACGCAAGCTACTACCAAGATGTCGGCCAAAAGACTTGCGACTGACATGACTGACTTGTCATTCTTGTCATACTCACGGGTTCCCGCGAAGTGGAGCCGTCCCACACTCTTGGGAGCCAAAAACCTCGCCTCGCCCAGGCTCCCGAAGCAGTGGAGCACCTTGCACGAGACCGCCTGGGAGTGGCTGTGGATGACGGTATCTCGGAACTTGAGGGAGTCCACCATGAAGGCACAAAAAGTCAGAGCGAGATTGTCTCAGCTGTCATGTCATGTGTATTTGTACGTTGGAAGCTTGGAACTTTGCAGGAAGGAACCTCCAACAACTGTTTGGAGTGAGCTAGAGTTGGAGTGACCAGAGAGCCCTATTCCAAATGCATGAGTTCTGGGCACATGATTTCATGAGATAGTTCTGTGCCCCTTCGAGCTTTGGATTTGGCCGGTGGTCGTAGGCACTATGGCCAGCGGATTCTTAACCCGACCCTTGACAGGATTAGCCAAAAAGTAACAAGAACCAACTCTTGAAGCCGAACACCGCTTAGAATAGAGGCCTTAGCTCTCCCCTTTTGGAAGACCATTTGGCCGCCTATTTGGCCGCTCCGGGAGGTTCGTGCCTTCAAGCCCTACAACGTGAAGCTCTTCTCCGCCCTGTCCGAAGAGTGCCAACCTTGGCCCGGCGAAACACGTCGACACGCTGCCCGCCAACGTCCCCTCCAGCCCGGCGAACTGCGGATGCGCGCGGCGTGTTGAGGCAACTGGACCGCTTCCGCAAAGACATTTTCACGCATTTCTTCGTCCGAGCTCCAGCCAGTCAAGACCTGTTTAAGCAGCCGGGGGCCTCAAGGTGAAGCATTTCAATCGTCTGTTGGTTGGGAACATGCTGGCCTCTTCAATCCTCTTCAGGCCTTCAGGAGGCGAAATCTTAGGCCAGAAGATGCCAGAAGCACATCTCAAAGAGACGCGCAGTGTGTTTCTTCCTTCTTAAGTTGGTCCAGGATGACGGGGACTAAAGCTTATATATATTATATGTTGCATTCATGCACTGTATTCGTTGTACCTCCATTGTTTTCATTGCAGAGGAGGCTTTGGCACTTTTCTTGTTTCTTACTTCGCTTACTTCATCTCCTAGTACTCCGGGAAAGCATGGCTAGCAGAATTCGTTCGCGACCGCGACACAGGTCTCAAACAAGGCTTCGCTACATTGCAGATCGAGTGCTGCAGTCTTCCGCTGATATGTTTCAAAAGAACAAAGATGATGCTCGGTGAGAGGTCTTAGATGGGGTGACGGGGGTGGCCATTTTGTGACGCTCACCTGGGTGACGGCGGTGACGGGTTGAAGAAACACATTGGATGGAGACACTGGAGCTGGTGAATGCTTCGGGATGTTCGATCGAGTCGCGCGTTTGCAGCAACAAGTTCTCCTGCTAGGCCTTTGCATCTCTAAAGTTTGAGGAGTTGTTTCACAGAAGTTATTGGAACTTTGAGTGGCATCCTTGTATTTTGGAGTTTGGTACATGATGGTACATGTCCCAAACATAAATGTCATGCCACAGCAGCTGCTGTTGTGTCAGGAAACCCTTGATGATTTGTCTGCATTGGGCTTGCGGCATGTAGGCGCCCTTTCGGTTTGCACGGCGCACAATCGGGGAGTTGGCATGGCAGGGAGGTAGGCCGGGCATTCGGTCGGGGACTGTGACTGTATGTAGTGTAGGGCATTGAAATAGCCGACATCATCCTACACGAAAACGCCAGGACGCACGTATTGGGGACATGATAACACACACGTCCGCTGCTTCTTCATCCAGACACACGTCTCGCATTTGGGGGGCCTTCAGTCCAGTCATGCTCACGTTCTTTTGCGGCTGCCAAAATTCAGACCCAGAGTGCGGTATTTGCTCGTTTGGCCAGACACGTTTCAGGAACCATCCATCCACCTGTCGCAGCGGAGGTTACGGCATTCCCATCGAGCTCTTTGGCCCCTTTGCCGAGACGTGCGTAGATGTGATGCAGCCTTTGATCCAGGAGTTCCCCAACGACAACGTGTCTGGGCCGAACAGACGACGAGATCCGTCGTGGGAGGACGACGTGACGAGGCACGCGCAGAGATCGATCTGGCACTGTGTGGCTCCCATTGGTGATCGGCAACCATTTTCACCAATGCTATGGTCGGCATGTGTGTCACCTGGTTTACTGGTCTCGGTGAATTGCAAGTTTGTGGTTAAGGGGGGGCACTTGTGGCTTTGAACTCGTGTAAGGTCCAATATGGTCGGGGTGAACAGGTTTGCTCTAAACATTTCCAGCAGATTCTGCGTCAATAGTGCATGTTTGATCCAGTTGCGAGCCAGTGGTCGATGTCAGTGCCATGCTCGTCCGAGAAAAGCGAGAAGCTCATGTGGTGCCCCAAAGACAAAGCGCATCAGATACCAGATCCTCAGCTGCATTGAGGTGACAAAGAGCACCTAAACGCGATTAAACGCGACTTGCTTCTTCGAGCATTTGTTGCATGGCTGTCGTCTCTACGCTGGCTTTGCCATTTTCAGATGAATCTGAGGAGAGGGAAGTGCCAGAGCACATGATGGTCGAGGGCTTCCGCTGGTCCATAGGCCTGTCCAAGTGAAGTTCTCGACAGGGAGGACACTCTCGATCCTTCTCGTTGCATCGGGTGAAGGTGTTTACCTTCATGCTGCTCATGCGATATCATGGCACTGAAAAGTCAGGAAACTTCCCGTGCAACTGAAGTGCAGCTTTGGTGGTGATTCGTTTGACATCTACAGCAAGAAAACCTCACTGGAACAGGACTCATGGACATTTGGAGTAACCTGTTGAAAGTCGAGGTGCTGGTGGAAGAAACATGCTATATATTAATAAATGCATGGTTTTATGGCCTCATGAATAAACACTACACACGGTATGTTTCACCGTAGCATTGGGCTCGAAGGGGTCTATGCCAGTGTGTGGAGTTTGCCTTAAGTGGCAGCTCCTAGGTGACAAGTGCCCGGTTTGCACCTCCCAAGAGCGACTGAGCACCGCTATCGCTAGTGACTGGCTGCCTGCATCGCTCGAGGCGGAGGCGAAGGTCACCAAAATCCTGGACAGTGCTTTCTACTCTGTGGCCAGGTTGGTACCAGAGGAGGAGAGTCCGAGGAAGGGAGTCTCCACTCCCAAGCGAGCTGCGGGAGAGGGAGGTGCAAAGGGAGAGAAATCTCCCAAGAGGGCCGAGAGAGCTACAGCATCCACAGACGAGAAGGAGGAGAAGAGCATCAAGGTCGGCGAGGAGAACAAGTCCCCTTATTTGAAGCCCAAAGAGGAGAAAGACAGGGGAGTCAGCACTACTCCCAAGAAGACAGAGGATCGCAAGCCATTGCCGAGGAGACGAGAAGAAGAAAAGGAGACAGTAAAGAGATCAAGAACGCCCAAGCGGAGGCAGGAGAAAGAGAAGAAAAAGCGAAAGCGAGGAGGTTCGAGGTCAGGAGAAGTGAGTGGCTCAGAGGTCAGGAGACAGAAAAGGGAGGCTGCTGACTCCCAGAAAGAAAAGAATGAAAGAGTGGAAGAAGAGGCTGAGAAAGAGTCAACTATTGAGAGAGAGGCGTATTTGAGGCCGAGACCAACGCAGAGGAGACCCAGATCACCACATACCCCAGAACGACCCCCTCCAGGGAGATCGTCGAGTTCCAAAGGAGGTGGCCAAGGCAAGCCACAAGGAAGTGGCTGGAGGGGGCGAATACCCTATTCAAGCCATCCCAGGTGGACTCAGGGGACAAATAAAGGAATCACAAAGAGGGCGAAGCAAGAGCTTCAGGAGAGAAAGACCCACGGCCGGGGAGGCCGTTATCGGTGGTAAGGGAAGCAATGGCTCCCAAGTTGAGGCGTCCCTCGTGCACGGGCAGCAGCGCCAGGGCGAGCAAGGCCGCGTCGAAGGCCAGCAGCAGAGGAGGAGCCTTTGGTGCCTGTGGAGAAGCTCTATGGATGGTCGGAGCTGACAGTGGACAGGTTGGGAGAGCTAGACATCATCGAGCTTGACCGTGCCTCCTACTACAACGCCCACGTCAAGATTGCTGGAAGAGTTCGTGCTCTGCACCCTGCCGAAGGAAAGATGGACTTCGTCCTCACTGGGACACAGTCTGAGCGCATCATGGAGACCTTCGGTGGGGGGGAATATCGCACGATCTCCGTTCACCTATGCAAGGAGGACTGCACCCAGCTTGAGACGGGGATGCGATTGGTGCGTGCTAGGGGTTTTGGGATTGCGCAGTAGCCCCCAAAGAATGGCAGATGAACCTGTCAGAAAAAGTGGTTGAGGAGCTTGATGAGTTGGCTTCATTGAGGAGGTTGGCTGAGGAGCGAGGAAAAGGGAGGGGAGGTGAGAAGCCTCCCAAGATTGATGGGCCAGAGGCTGAGGAAGAGAAAAAAGGAGAGAAGAAGGTTGTGAAAGAAAAGAAAAAGAAAAAGAAGAAGGAGAGGAAAGAAGAAAAGGAGTGGGAAGCGAAGCTGGAGTCACAGGAGGCCCTGGAAGTGCTTGAGAAAGGCCAGAAGACTGCCCGGGCGGTTTTCGCGTTCACCTGTCTTGATCCCAATGTGAGCCGCCGCAAGAGACTGATGGCAAGGGCACGCAAGATGAAGAAGAAGAGCGAGAAAAAGCGGAAGAGGTCATCCAGCTCAGGAGAAGATGAGAGCAGCTCAGAGAGTTCCTCAGAGGTTGAAGGCTCAGAGGAAGAAGGGCCGCTCTTCGAGGAGACAAGAAGGGTGAAGCGGCTGCATGAGAGGTTCCCAGGAGCATTGAGCACGCAGGCGATTGAGAACATGCTGGAGCACCTGATGAGCGCCCGGGGTGACCTATACAGCAGTTCTCAAGACCAGCTCGCTCCGGTGTTTGCCATTTACGCGCACCAACACCTCAAAGCTCAGGCATCGCCGGTGCTCGTGCAAGAGCTTAGCACCGTGGCTCATGTCAGCGACCTCCTCCTAAGGAGGAAGGTGGCCGCAGCGCTCGACGTTTTGGTTCAAAGAGCGAAGTCGCTGGAGGCAACCCTAAAAGGTGGCCACTATACAGTATCCCGCCAGCTTGAGCTGGTAGGGGCTGACCCGGTGACCATGACAGAAGCAGGCGAAAACTACGAAGCAGCTCGGCATGCACGTGAAGACTTCCGGAACAAATCAGTGGGATCAAAGCCCTATGGCCTGGGGCGCAAAGGCGACAATGATACAAAGGGGCGAGGAAAAGCTGTTCCATCTTCAGAGCCGGCATTCAAGGAGAAAGGGGAGAAAGGGAAGAAAGGAACAGGAAAATGGGAGCGCAAAGGGAAAACAGAGAGTTGAGGGCCGGTGAATCAGAGGATGGAACAGCTAGAGAAGGTCAGGCCAGAGAAAAACCAAAGAGGGAAGAGTCGCCAAAAGACAGGAGAGAAGGGGCAGAGAGAGAGAGAGAGAGAGAGAGAAAAAGACAGAGGGCAGAGAGAGAAGAGGGGCAAGCAGTTGAGGAGCAGGCCGTAGAGCGCTTGTTAGAGGAGTGCCGACGCAAAGCACAAAACAATGAGCTTGGGGAAGGAGGTCTTGTCGAGAAAAATCCGGGACTTGCTCCGGGCCAGGCGGATGATGTAAGACAGCAGCAAGGGAGGGAGAAGAGTGGATCCTCCCAGCAGGAGAAACTGGAGACAGAGGCTGCAGGTATGGACCGTGGCGAACTGGCTGAAGGGACTCTTGCCAGAGGAGAAGCTGATGGTATTCACCAGGTTGGAGGGGAGCGGAGGAGTGGCTCCCAGTTTTTCCAGGGCGGCTCCGGGCGACCCCAGATGAAGGGAAGCCGCCAGGAGGCCTCTTACAGTGTACCACGACTGGATTTGATACCGTGCCGTGGTGAAGATTTTGAGCACAGAAGACCCCATCCCATGGGGCAGCTACAAAACAAGTGTCATATTGAAGAGATCGTGGTGGGGGAAATGGGGCATCTACTCGCTCGCATGTTGGAGGTTTTCGATCAACGGTTGAACACGCGTTGCGGGCAGACCTCGGAGGGGATCTTCCCCCTCCCGCTTCCAACACAACTAGCTGGCATTTCACCTGGAGAGGGTTTTGCAAGGGTGTGACCAATTGAAAGAAAAGGTACCACACCTTAACTTTCGGGAGTTCTTTCGCACCAAGACCATCGATTATTCGGGTGAAGAAGTGAAAGTTGCCCGGCGTTTCTCCTGGCGGATGATTGAGGCCGCATTGCCCCAAGGGGTTGGCAGTTTGGTGTTGACGGATTTCTGCGACCAGGGGACCCTCGACTACGTTCGTAACTTCAAGCAGTGCCTCTTGCCGGTTCAGGATCAGTATCTGGGGAAGACGCCGGCGATCATGGTCGAGCACAGCGACTGGGCAGAGGTCTGCCGGGGGTTGGTTGCTAGGGGCGTCTGTGGTTTGATGAAAAAGGGGGACCTGCACCATGTTCGGGGAAGACCCTTGTTGAACGGCCTTTTTGCAGTTGAGAAGGGGGAGAAAGCGGTTGGAGCTGATGGTATTGAGTTTGACGTTTGTCGTCTTATCATGAACCTGGTCCCAACCAACTCTATCTGTCGCAGCTTGGTTGGCGATACGGCAACGCTCCCATCAATTGTAGGGCTCAATTCCATCATCCTGGAAGACAGTGAACTGCTCCTCACATCCTCAGAGGATATTCGGTGTTTCTTTTACTTGTTCCAAACGCCGCCGGAGTGGTGGCCATATATGGCCTTTGCACGGGAGGTGCCCGTAGAGGCCCTCCCAACAGGACACTCGGGTCACGAATGGCACTTGGTTACCAAAGTGCCGCCGATGGGTTTCGTGAACTCGGTGGCAATTGCGCAGCACGTGCACAGGAGGGTGATCGGACAAGCGCTGTATTCAGGGACCGGACTTGCCTCGAGGCATCAGGAGATTAGACGGGACAGGCCCAACAGTCGTGCAGATCATCTTTTCCGCGTGTACCTGGACAACTTCGATGAGTTGCGCAAGGTAGACAAAGGTGTTGCTGAGCTTGTGGAAGGAAAGCCGTCTGATTGGACGCTGGCAATCCGTGAGTCTTATACCGCCATGGGACTACCACGTCATCCGAAGAAGTGGAGCAGTCCACCTGTGCCGAGGTCCAGGGAGCCTGGGTGGATGGGAGTAAAGGCACAGCCACTCCCAAGTTTAGCAAGGTGGCTCGGTACTTGAGTCTGGCATGTGAGGTGGTGGTTCAAGGAAAAGCCTCAGAGAGAGAGCTTCAGATCATTGGCGGGGGCTTTGTATATATTGCGATGTTTCTTGTCAGGATTGAACGCTATTTGGAAGAAGATTACAAGCTTGAGGGGGATGTCACCTCACCTGCGTAGCAACTTGGGAGTGGAGGTCGAGGCGGAGCTGATCCGCTTTATTGCTATGAGCCCGTTGGCCTTCATGAACTTCAGGTTGCCCATCTCCCAGCACGTCACCGCTAGTGATGCATCGACTACGGGAGGTGGCCTATGCGTGTCCCGTGGGCTCAGTCCCTACGGGCTGGCTGCCTCCCAGGCTGAAGCGAGGGGTGATGTGCTATGCCCTGATGAGATTGACCAGATCTTCGTAATTTCCTTGTTTGATGGCATTGGAGCTTTGCGTGTTGCCC